GGGGCAGGGAGGAGATGAAGGATGGTGGGTGGGATTGAAAGGGAATGAGGGAATGGGATACAGCTGGGATAAAATGTTAATAAAATGTAACTAATAATATAAATAAATAAATAATAATTATTTTAATTCTGAAAAAAAAAGAAATGAATACATGGGCCATTTGCTGTTAAAATGGAAATGAATGAAACTGTCATATCAAGACAAACTAGTGTCATATTCAATACCAATAAAAAGATTGTAGTTTTAAAGACAGGAAAAATTTAATTCTTCCATCTTCTACTATGAAACCAACAACTTTCTGCAGTGTAAAGAATTTTTATGAATCTAAAGTAACAATAAGATTTTAGATGTTTTACTCCAATTTGATGACGATTATTTTGGAGTTTTTTTTTTTAGCTAAATGATCTTTACCAAACGACTAATTCTTAGTTTTGCTCTTGTGGGTAGAAAAATCAATTCAAAGTAAAGATGAACAAAATATTTTGTGTAGTTGGCATGAAAAGTTTAATGATATCATTTAGACTTCATATTATATTATTACCTATTGAATTTTGATTTTTAGTCAAAAATATTATTTCTAATTATTTGGAAAGACTATTATAATGTCCATTGCTTCAAATTGCTTTTGGAATGCTTACAAGTACAATTTAGAATGTTTGTATACATAACAGCTATGAGAATTCCATTACAAGCAAATCATTCCTGAAATATGGAAAAATTATCAAACTTTAGTAGCATATATAACAAAAATAATGAGCCCACTATTGCCCTTCTCAGTGATTTTTGTAAATAAACATAAGTTTCTCTTAACTGTAGTTTTTTTCTATAGTGCAATGTATAAATACATAATTATTATTCGTATATGCATTCTTGCACAAACCTATTTATATATTCAACTCTCAATATCATATTATGCTACTCAAGGATTTCTGAGAGTAATGGAGTGTTCCTATACCAAAACAGCTTAGATCTGTTATTGAGATCAAGAGTCCAGCTCCTCAGAACTTGTCAGTGGACACTCCTAATCTCCTCCATACATACTGATATATGTATTTTATTTTAGCTTTCTCAGACTATTTTTCTCTCATTCAAGACATTGTAAATTCTTTTAACTTAATTTTCCTTGAGTTCTTGGTGTTTTTTTTTTAAATTCCTTTAATCCACAAGAACAATACAATCTACTAGACTCCATTGTGTTTTGTTTAGATTTACTGTCAATTTGGCAAAATCTAGAGACACCAGGGAGGATACAAGTTCAACTGAAAAAAAAAGCCATAATTGATAAGGTTGGAATGTGGTTATGTCTTTAAGAAACTGTCTGGATTTAATTTTTGATATGGGAAAGATTCACACAACTATGGACAGCACCAACACTAGGCAGGTGGGACTGGACTGCCTAGAAAAAATTTGTCTGAGAGCAAAGGCAGAGAAAGAAATAGTCAATAAGAAGCACACATCTATGATTCGTATCTCCATTTCCTCCTTGGCTTCCTGGCATGACTGCCCTTTATGATGGATTGTAACGTAAAAGTTAAAAAAAAAACCCTTTCTTCCCATGTTGCTTTTAGTCAGTGCAATAGAAAGCAAACTAGCTCAGGAGGTTAAAGGCAGAAAGTTGAATGACTTCTTGGAAATAATTCAAGCCTGTATTTGGGCATCAAATAAAGCTGTGTTTGGACAATTTCATTTGACATATGATTTTTGATATCCTTATGGGTAGTTGGTTGAAAAAAATTTAAGTCTATATATGTATATATACATAATATATACTATATATACTTTATGTATTAGTACATACAAATGTGTATATATATATATATATACAAATAGAGATGCAAATATATAATGCATCTAATTATAGCAGTGGTAATTATTCACTTATTAAAGAGTCTCTTAAGATATTCCCACTGATATACTGTTTCATTTAGTCTATTAATGCACTGAAATGAATTTTTCTTATTTTATATTTTCAACCCTAACCAAAACTGAAAAATAATGTAGAATTACAACTTTCTTTCTAATTAATTGGAAGGTGTTGATGAAAAAAATCCAAATTCAAAGCAGTATTTCAACTGTCAAGATTTTTTTCACTTCTTTCTGACTGTCGGAAAATAGACAAAATAGTAATAATAATGCTAAAAAAGTATTTGAAGAAATGTTGGTGGTGTCCTAGACTTTTGTTTTAGAAGTTTCAGAAAATAAAATTTTATCAATACTATGTTGAATTCTGTTATAAGTCATATATATATATATATATATATATATATATATATATATATATATATTCTGTTCTATGTGCTTTGTACATAATTAATTTTCAGTTTCTCATATTTTCATTACAAATTTTGCACTAATAGAGCATTTTGTATTTTCAACTTATAATCTGATGTCCATAGACATATACCATGAAACTGTGCTCAGTTCATTGATTTGTTTGTACTGACTACTACCATCCTATGTGTTCAAATATTCCATTCATGGCTAGGACCTAGATCCCCTGCACAAATAGGAACTAGATCCTCTGCTCAGATGGCAGCTCATTCTCCATGTGGGTGCCCCAGTAAGGGGAGCAAGGGCTGCCGCTGTCATGAACACAATTGCCTGCTCTTTGATCTCTTATCCCTGGTGATGCGGTTTTGCCAAGCCACAAATGAAGAGGAACCAGGCAGTCCTGATGAAACTTGATAAGCTATGGGAAGATGGCAGAAGAGGAGAACTCCCCCCTTTTGGTGGATTAAAGGGAAGGGAATGGTGGGAAGAGGGAAGAAGGGTGAGACTGGGAGGGTTTGAAGGAGGGGGCTTCAATCGGGATATATAATGAATAAATTGTGAAAAAAATAAAATTAAAAGAATATTCCATATGTTTCAAATGTATGTGTATGCATATGTATATGTGTATTCAACTGATTATCTCAAGCATAATTTTAATATCAACATAATTATAATCCAAACTTAACGGTTTTCTTACTAATCCTTTTAATTTTGTTATTCTCCTATTTAGAATAAGATATTCAGTATCATCACCATAATATCTGCTCTCATCCCCTATGCATACATGATAAAATTCATTACAATCAAAGAGCATACCTATCCTTGTCTATAATTCAACTAACATACACTGACAGATGTTATACAGATGAATTACAAGTACTGCATGTGACAGGAATAAAGAAATGTACATAAAACACAATTGATGTAAATACTCACAGATAGTTACAATATATATTTAAAAATTAAATTTCTCAAATTAGTATATATTCTTACTTACAATAGTAAGATTTTTTTTTTACTTTTTAAAATTTTCTTAATTACAGTTTATTCACTTTGTATCCAACCTGTAGCCCCCTTCCCTATCCCCTCCCAATCCCACCTTCACTCCCTCTTCTTCTCCTATGCCCCACTCCCAGGAAATGATAGGGGAGGTCCTCCTGCCCTTCTATCTGACCATAGTCTATCAGGTCTCATCAGGACTGGCTTCTTGGAATTTTAAGAAGTGAAACTACATTAAATAAAATATGCACTGACGAATAATAAGAAAATATATTTAACATTATTAGTCATTAAGAATGTATACACACACACGCACTCACACACACTCACACACTCCATGCAACTTTATTCAGACAGGTTTTTATAATCAAACAATAGAAATTAGCCCCTGTTGATATAATATGAAGTATGAGGTGATGTCATTAGTGAGAAGTAAAAATTAAAAAAAAAAAAAAAAAAAACGTGCAGGAAGAAGGCAGCTCCTGAAGAATGCCACAAATACAATGACCTCATGACTCATCAATGCCTTACTGTAGTATATAAGTAGTAAGATTGAGAACAGATGTTCACAACCAAAACTTGTACAAAGAAATTTGTGCAGACAGCAGCCACAATGTTTAGTGGAGAAATGGAACTGTCCACCAAATGAGGACTGGCTAGTACATTTGCATGTATGTAATCAACGATCACCACATATTACATAACTTCATTTTAATAAAAGCTCACCCTAAGGATATCTATCGGGACAAGTAGAATCTACAGATCCATAAAAAATTTATAGCCTGTACACAGATGGAGACTATACAGAGTAAATTCTCATTATGTGTTTTATATAAGTAAAACTAATCTTCAATTCAGATGGCAGGTATTTCTTATATTTGAAGTAAAACACAAAACAATGAATAATACCATTGTATTGGCTTGAAATCAAGTCTTTTATAGAGGTTTAATCTACAGGCTGTATTTTTACATGATAAGATATTTAGAGATAAATTTCTCCTCTTAACAATTTAAGCATCAATTCAAAACTTTTTGATTCTATTCCAGATAATTCTGCTACAATGTGTACTTTCTGATGCATATTTTCTTTTGGATGTATGTTTAACTAGATTTCCAGTAGGTAAGTATAAGTCTTTTATTCAAGCAATGCATAAGAATATTGTAAATTAGAATCATAAATCAGATTTACAAAATAATTTCAGATACAAATACTTAAGTATTCCCTTTTCTCTATTAAACATTAGAAATATTTGCAAATAAAGTTTTGGATTAGCATATAATGGCATTTGTGAATTTTCAAATAGCTGTGATACAAAATAAACAATTGTTTTATTGAGAAGCCAGAAATGGAGAAATTTCAGTTTGTGTCTCTAGTCTACTTCACATATTCCAAGTTTAACTGTGAGCATTTTCTTGTATTGTATTTTCTAAAATACAATTATTAACGGGTTTATGTAAAAAGAAATAAAATAAAAATAAACAGGGGGAATGATTCATTGACTACTTTAACAGAAAAAGAAAACAAAAAGTTTCAGTGGTTGCATTTCCCATTGGATCGGTTCTTTGAAAATAAACGCAGAGCCTTATTTTGAGATAAGAGAATCTACTCTTTTTAAGTTGTCTAACTGTAAAAACAACATTGTGACATGTCTCCCCACACTCGCAGGCAGGAATGAGTAGAGCCCAGCTTCTGGGACCGAAGCACAGTTGTCATGCTGCCCCACTCTTACCTCTGTCTTGGCAGGCTGATGAGGGGCTGTTTGTGGCACCGTTTGCTAAGGCTAAAGAGCTTGTGTACAATTCTATGTGCCTTCAGGAAAAGCTGTTTCATGCTGTTCTCCAGTTGTTCATAGCGGCGTTGAAAATTAGAATCCATTGTCCACAAATGCATTATAGTTGATGTGTTGAGGAAATAATTCATGGGTAGTCTTTTCATAAAGAACTTGAATTCATCTGAAAAATGTGAGAATTCAACATTTTAATTTTTAAGCAATTATTTCTCTTCTAGCCAAAACACATCCAACATATTTAAAAATAAATGCTAGCAGCATAATATTTGTGACTAACAAACAAAAAATGAGATTTGGGGGGTGTTAAAATGGTTTGTTTTGATCTCCTTAAAAATAAAAGTTTCATGAAAGAATATGAAAATAGCTTATGCAGAACAATAGTTTAGATAGAAATAGTAAATCCAAATTGTTTTCTGTATTCTTCCTTTGCTAACATTTGAACGTTTCTGTAATGTATGACATATATTTGGCCTTTGTATCTGATACTAGTGTAAATAATTCTTTCTTAATGTATAATAAAAAAACTCCTCAGATACATTTGTTAAATCAGTATAGAAACACGTGAGACTTATTTCTAAATTTCATCTTAAGAGAGTGCGTTGTCAGTAGACAATTTTTATATTTGGTTATTTTCTTTTATCCCGCTATTCTTATGTCACATTTCAGGACGTATCATTTTTAAAAAATGGGTGCATAAAATATAGTTAAAATCCACAGTAGCTGTTGCTTTTCTCTCAATCAATCTTACACACTATTTTTGCTTTCATACAAAATGAATGGTAAATCTTCAAGAACAATAACAGTTGATGTTATGTGATGTCCAGGAGATGCTTCAGCAGGTAACAACACTGCAGCAAAAGCATGAGAACCCGAGTTCAAATATATGTAAAAGCCAGTCATGGCCATGTGGCTGCACAGCCTTCACACTGTGAAGTGTGAGGCGCACGCGGTAGAACTGTAGGGGTTGCAGGCTTACAGCCTCACTCCTGTTCAGTAGCAGACAGCATTTCCAAGTGATGAGGGAGAAAGTCATAGAGCAGAGCACCTGATGCCTTTCTCTAATTTCGGCATGTAGCATGTATGTGTGTCTATCTATCTATCTATCTATCTATCTATCTATCTATCTATCTATCATCTATCTATTTATCTATCTAATTAACAAACTATCTCCACACACATACTCATACACCACATACATTCTTACACACACACACACACACAAAGTTCATGTTACATGAAAACAAATGAAATAATGGATGTATTTATTATATAAGCACACAAGATTGATGACAGCATATTCAAGCTAGTAAAAACTAACCTGTCTTTTAAAGGCATGTCACTATACTAACCATACAGATACAGATGTATCATTGAACCATAACAATTACATCTGTCATATGTTGCAGCATAGATTAACTTATATTGTATTACTGTTTTCCTTTTCCAGATAATCACAACTCTATTGATGAAAAAAAATGTTCAATATGTGATATTAGGAATATATTTAAAAGCATTAAACTGAAGACTAACTTAGGAAAATGGTGTTTGCTACATTTTTGTTTGTATATTTCATATATATATATATATATATATAGAATGTTATGTTTTCTATATAGCTTAAATAAGAGCAAACTTGGGCAAAAGAGTATGAGGCATGTTACACTTATTACATATTGCTTTTATTACTGAAGAGTGATTATATTGTTTTATTTTTCTTAATTACCAATACACCTCAGTTACTTTTTCATATATATATATATGTATATATTTAAAATATATACATATATTTCAAAATATATATAGTTGAGCAAATGTCTTAGTTGTATGTTAGAACATCTTTCGGTATATGCCTGGGAGTGATATAGCTAGGTCTTGAGATAGCACTATTCCCAGTTTTCTGAGAAAGGCCAGATTGATATTCAAAGTGGTTGTACAAGTTTATATTCCCTCCAGCAAAAGAAAAAGGTTCTCCTTTCTCTACAACTTCTCCAGCATGTGTCATCCCTTGAGTTTTTGATCTTAGACATTCTGATGAGGTGAAATCTCAGGGTTGTTTTGATATGCGTTTCCCTGATGACTAAGGACATTGAGCATTTCTTCAAGTGTTTCTCTGCCATTTGATATTCCTCTGTTGAGAATTCTCTGTTTAGCTCTGTACCCCATTTTTTAATTGGATTATTTTGCTACTTTACATATAACGGGGTTAGTTGCATTAACACATCAATCAAGTAAGATGTATCAAGCCTTCTGTTTTTAAGGGGTTGTTTGTTTGTGTGTTTATTTGTTTTTACCTACTTTCCAGTTCTACTTCCTAGTGAAAATAACCGGTTTGGGGCTTCTGGAGTAGGTCCCCAGTGGAGTACTTGCCCAGGGTGCATGAAAACTAGGCAAGTGAAGACCAAGGAAGATAAACTATCTTGTGTAGCATGGACTTGTTATGCTTCTCTGGCTAACTTTAACATTTTCCTTCTACCATAGATAGTTCTGTTTTAAATTATCTATCTATGAATAACATTTCTCATTATTTCCTCTCATAATTTTGAAATAAAATGTATTTTGAAGAAAAATATATAATGTCTATATAGGATATATTTCAAATATACTAAATATTTTATTTTATTTTTTTTAACTTTTTAAAATTTTTTTATTAATTACACTTTATTCATTTTGTATCCCCCCATAAGCCCCTCCCTCCCGTTTCTGCATGCATGCCCCTCCCCAAGTCCACTGATAGGGGAGGTTCTCCTCTCCTTTCTGATCTTAATATTTTAAAAGATATAGTTATATACAAAATTGATACTAAATTATCTATTTTGTATTTTTTTTCTGAAATGTTTATTGGAAGTAGGTTATCAAAACTTAGACATTTATTAATTTCTTTATTTATGTAAAGCATCATTATTTTCATTGTTATTTTTCAACATTCTTATGTAGTAAATTAATAGGCTTCCTCCAAGATGTATACCTACATTAAATTTTGGAAAGAAAAAAAATGAAGTAAGTCAAAACATGGACAATATTGAAGCAAGCAATTATGTTTAAGCCCCACTATAGAAGAAATAATTTTTATGTGGTACTTCAATATTGGCCAAAAATGGTAGATAGAGAGGTCATAGTCCCTACAGAATTACCTATATTATTATTCTGTTTGATAGACAGGGTACTAAAACAATTTTTAATGACTCTGTGGAATAACCATATGTCAATGGATCTAACTCTCATAAGAGAAGCTTCTTGCAGTAGATGACAATTAATATTGCGACAGATATTTGGAAAAAAAGTAGGAAATAAGTGATTTCAGCATCCCACATGTGTATGTCACCATTGCTGTTTCCAGGCTCAGGGATCGTCATGGAAGAGGGAGAGGAAAGAATTTAAAAATCGTTACTCCAACCAAGGACCATGAGTGGAGATAACCTAGAACCCAAGTACAGATGTAGCCTATGGCAGCTCATTCTCCATGTGTGTTCCATAGTAACAGGGACTGTCTCTGCCATGAACTCAGAGGCTGGCTCTTAATCACCTCCCCCTGAGGTGGAAGCAGCTTTGGCAGGCCACAGAGGAAGATATTGCAGCCAGTCCTGATGAGACCTGATAGACTAGGATCAGATGGAAAGTAAGAGGACCTCTCCTATCAGTGGACTTGCAGAGGGGCATGGGAGGAGATGAGAGAGGGAGGGTGAGATTGGGAGGGGATGAGAGAGGGGGCGACAGTGGGAATACAAATTGAATAAACTGAAATTAATAAAAAATAATTAATTTTTAAAAACCAGAAGGTGTTATATGTATTCAACTGTGTTCTCCTAACAGGGCATCTGAACGTATAAAGTGACAGAGATTATGAATACATGTATTCAGAGGTAACTAGGCAACAGAAAAACTGGATTTAACGAGTTTAAAGAGAGACAGAAAGAGAACACAAAGCTAAGTGAGTGGTTATGTTGAGGTGGATCTGAGAAGAGTTTGGTGAAAGTGATCAAAACATACTTTTTGAATACTTCAAAAACAGCAAAAAGTATTTGAAAAATATATTTAGAGGGCATGTTTAATCACCGAAACACAGCCCATTTAAATATCACATCTCTCGGATATTCAGTGTAGATTATTATCTGAAAAAAAAAAAGACTCAGAGGAAAAAATCTTTTCAATAATAGAAATACAATTGGAGAAAACTTTGTAATATATTTGCATTAGATATGTTTCAAATAATCTTTTCTTAAATTTTTTATATTAATTACATTTTATTCACTTTGTATCCCAGCTGTAGCCCCCTCTTTCATTCTCTTCCAATCCCACCCTCCCTCCCTCCCTCATCTCCTCCCATGTCGAATAATCTATTAAACAAGCAAAATATTAATAATACATTAAGGAGAACTATAGAGCCAAAATATCTGGGCCCAATGGACCCTGCAGAGACCTATACTGCAACCAAGGTCCATGTTTGGAGAGGACCTGCTCAGATGTAGCCCATAAACTCAGTCTCCAAGTGGGTTCCCTACGAAGGGTAATAGGGACTGTCTCTGTCATTAACTCAGTGGCCAGCTCTTTAATAACCTCCTCCTGGGGTGTGCATCCTTGCCAGGACACAGAGGAAGACAATGCAGTCAGCCCTGATGAGACCTTATAGGCTAGGGTCAGATAGAAGAGAAGGAGGTCCCTCCTTATCAGTGGACTGGGGGAGGGGCAAAGGAGGAGAAGAGGGAGGGAGGGTGAGATCAGAAGGAGATAAGGGAGGGGCTACAGCTGGGATACAAAGTAAATAAATTGTAATAATAGATAGATAGATAGATAGATAGATAGATAGATAGATAGATAGATAGATAGATAGATAGACAGATAGACAGATAATGTAAAAGATTTGATTTCACAATACTGTGCAATTTTTTTTTTTTTTTTTTGCTTCCATATGCCTCTTTAGAGAATTTTCCCTTTTGAATAAAGAAATGATGTGTGAAAATTGGAAAACTCTCTTTGGATAGTCATAGCACAATGCCAGTACTTTCAAAACTAATCATTCATTTCACTGTTATATTTGACTTTGACACTTCCGTTAAGACTTTATCATGTTGTTTTGTTATGGATTTCTAAATGTACTCAGTGTCATTAAACTACTGGGGAAAGTTCTGAATCAGGAAATTTCACTGAGGTTAAAGAACATTTTAA